AAAAGAAAAAAGAGAAGGGGGAGGGAAGGAGGGAGAAGGGGGGAGAATAAAAGTTCTCACATACAGAAAGTTGGATGCTGGTGGCTTACATCTGTAATCCTAGCTATTCAAGAAGGCTGAGATCTGAAGATCAAGATTCAAAGCCAGCCATGGCAGGAAAGTCCTTAAGACCCTTCTGTCCAATTAACCACCAGAAAACAGGAAATGGAGCTGTAGCTCAGCACTAGCCTTGAGCAAAAAGCTCAGGGACAGAGTCCAGGCCCAATTCAACCCCATCACCACAAAATTTAAGTACATAAATCACATGGAGACCTTCATTCATCTCTTCCTTTAAGATACATCTAAAATTGCATGCATTTATTAAATAGACACACATCAACAGCCCTCCTGGCCAAACTATGTACCTGAGACTCAAAAACTGAAGAGCTAAGAGGTTGTGTGGGCTTACTACATACATTCTGGAAGGTGGTACCCCCCAACCAACGTAGACACATCAAGCAGTGACTACAATGGATCAACAGGCTTCACAGTAGTGGCAGACCTTTAGGCACTGGTGTTTCAAATCTCCTTTCAGAAAACACAACCATGGGTCAAAGCTGCTTCAAGCTCATAGAATAGGAGCTGTCTCAAGGGAATTAAGTTTGGAGATGCAAAATTTAAACAAAATGTTTTTTTTTTCCCTATGACCCGATAGTCAACATTCTTAACATTATAAATATACCTCGGAAGTGGCGCTGTGGCTCAAGTGGTAGAGCACTTGCCTTGAGCTGAAGAGCTGAGGGACAGCACCCAGGCCCAGAGTTCAAGCCATACGACCTACCAAAAAAAATTAGGCAAAGGTGAAGCTAGACAATTCCCAGTTAACAGATACATTCACAGCACTTTAAAATATGCAGTATATACATATATGTAGTAAAACACTAAGACCTGGATAGTGACACAGATCTCAACTTAGTAGAGAAGGAAATGGTAAGCAAAGTAAAAGATCTAAAAGAAATACAACATTCTGGGGACACCAGTCTTTTTTATTCCCATACTGTGGGGGACATGCATCATCCAAATATAAAACTTTATTACTGTTATGTGCAGTTATTCTTTTGGAAGTAGAAAAAGTACAGATTTACCAATTTTTATATGAGCTTAGTATTTGTTGGAAGCATTTGTATTATCCACTTCAACCAAATGCAGATACAAGACACTTCACTGAATGATAACTATTCCCCTTTAATCCTTTTGAAACTCAAAAGGAGCCATCAACCTTTTAAGTATACATACCAATGTACTTATCTCAAAAGGTTGGCTCTACCTCTACAAATTAAATATAAGCCCATCTCCTTCCCATATAGCATTTAAGATCAAGTAAATTAAAATGAAAGTGACAATGCACTCTTAAAAACACTGTATAACAGAAACGACTAGTGCTTAGAAATAAATGGGAGTTAAAAAACACTTCTGGGGTAGATTGACCTAAGTGGCAATTAAAACTGAAGCCCACAAAATTTCTCAATTGTTTATTTTTGCACTGACAGCTCATTGACTTACAAATTTAAAATTTGCAAATTGCTTTTGATATTGCACTCACAGCTCAACGTTTATTTACAACTCAAAAACCTTCATGGGTATCCTAGCAATCCTGACTTCACAAGGGTAACTTCTATATTAAGCAATTCTCAAAGGTGACTTACAATTCCCTTTTTAAAAAGAAACATTTTTGAAAGGTTTACTTAAAAATCTTAGATGAATGTTACACATTGGGACAATGAGTTCCAAGAGAGAATAACATCCATCAAGGGTAGTGTTATAAAATGTCCAAAATGTAAGGGGAAAAAAAGACTAAAAAGCACTTTTTGCCATAATATTGGTTTTCAGTGAAGTCCATACGAATAGTATATATTACATACATTTTCTTAAAGAATATTAATGTCACAGAGAAACAAGTCAAACGTGCACAGCAACTACAGATTTGGCTTTTTACTGTTTTCCAAATTGCTTAAAATGCATGTTAGTATTTTCTGCAGTTAGAAATGTAGAAAGTGTTTTCTTAGGGATGTATATTCACACTTCTCTATCAACCCCCCAGCAGCTTGGGCAATCCCAAGATGCTACTAGTATTACAAAGAATTCCCAGAAGCAAAACACAAGGGATTGATAAAACCTTACTTGTTCTTAAAAACTACTTAAGATTGCTAAACCAAAGACTAGAGAAAATCTGCCTTCAGAACTCAACTCCCAACTGGCTATTAAAATGCTTGCCAGAACATAAATATACAAACCATATCAAGTTAGAAGTATTTGTGTTTATTATGGAAAAGAAAATGACACTTCACTACATTTTTAACAATTTATTCACGCAATATTTTAATTTCCCTTGAAAGCTAGAAAACAAAGATCACTCCTGATTTTGGTGTCTTTTCCTCTCAGAAAGGTCAATTAAAAAAAAAAAAAACTATGCACACACCAAAGTAAATGAATAGGAATGTGCAAAGCGCCAGGAAACTATTAGGAAGTGGCAGATCAAATTTGGGGAATATATTCAGTAAGACCTGTTATTGATACAACTTTATATTTGCAAAGGTTACAGCCAAAATTCTTTCCATGCCATCGAATACCAAATTTTAAGGAAACTTCTAAGTCAGAAACTTAAAAGAGAAATTAATACTATTTGACTAGAATTTCTGAATTTAATGCGCATTTTCCTACAAGTGTTGTGTTTAGAACATAATTTTTAAATTTGCTTCTTGTAAATACAAGAATATGATAAATTAAGATACATGACTTTATAAAAACAATAAAAGTAGTGCATTGAGTATCACATGTGAACTTAAGGCCTTAGTTATTAGACTGTAATTTCAGTATCAGCAAGTTTTTCTCCCTCATGCTTACATACACAAGTAAGCAGGTAGACAATGCAAACATTTCTAAACATGTAAAGATTAAGACAAATAACTTAATCTATATATTATCTGTCAATTAATACAAGTGGACTCTTTTGAAAGTATAACTATTGGTAGGAAAATAATCTGAGCACATTTCATAGAACAATTAAAAAGAAGCAAAATAAAAGCTATATAATCTGAGCATCTCTTGATATGTAGAGCAGTTAAGCCCACATACACTTTTGAAGATGCTACAAAAATGACAACCTATCTTAAAACTAAATGTTGCATAATGCATTCTGCAAAAATTCACCAAGAAATACACTGTATTTTGTAATGTTTATTACCAATATGGGAGGCATTACTAGCTTAAACACTAAAACATACATGAGATTAACAGTTGCTTGTCAGACAGTCTTACAGTAAGAAATCTCACATATACTTATTAGACAGCATTGTAAGTTCATTATTTCAGCTGTCTGTCAAATTAAGACAAGTTGTTTGGTTCCTACATTATCAGGAAAAATGGAGCTACAATCAATCAGGAGACAAATTACTATTTTTAGCTCTGCTTCTAAAACTATTTTGAGATGTGGGTAATGAACAGTCTGTTAAGCCCTTGGAGGCCTTACACTTGTCAATTGTAAAACAAAGGGACTGAACAGATTCAATTCTAAGAAGCACTCCCATAAAACGGGGATTTTGCTAAATTTTTTAAAACAAATCTTTTAAAAAGATATTTATGAAATACAAAGCTTGATACTTATCACCACTGATGTTGATTAAATAGAGAGCTTTATGACAAAGAATGACTCTTCATTTATGGGATGGAATACTTTACCATGCTTTTCCAGTTATTGGGGGTAGGACTTATTACAATGACAGAAAGCATACAGCAGTGGAAACATTACCTGTAGTAGCATGCTAGTAATGGCAAAGCATTACTTCTGCTTGTTTTTAATAATTTTTGCACACAAGCAAGAGGTTTTATAAAATATACCATTGAACACATTACACAATAACGTCATCTGATTTCAAAACACGTTTGAAATGAAAAGACAAAATACTTGAGAATATTCCACTCTTCATAAAATGTGTACACAGACCTGGGCCTAACCTACTTCACTGTACCACATTAAGTCCCAAGGTCCAATTTCTCTTTTAGGTGGTCTGCATCTTCTACAAAACAAACAGCTACTTTGAAGAATAAAAATTTATTTGTACTAAGACTATACTCAGTTGAAAACATTATTTTTTCTAGTTCCAAAATTTTCTATCCTAGCACTAGTAAATGAAAACATAAGACCAAGTGCAGGAAAGTATCAGGCCCTACAATGAGTTCTTATATTGAAAGCGTTGAGTGGATAACAGATTGATTTGCAAGAAAAAGTCATTTTTCACAAAGAAAATTTCCAAAGCTTGCTCAATAATGCTAAATTTCTATAACAGAAATTTAAGTTGGACAGGAGGAGGGTGTATAACTACTTTTAGCTATTATAAAATGTTATAAAGTCTTAAGAATTATTAGCTGGTTTCAAAGTACTTTAAAATCAAAAAGAACAAATCTTGCTTGAGCAAATAGTACAAGAACATAGCAAGAATGGGGTAAATTAAATACAATACAGCCACATGGCATACACAAGAACTCACTAAAATTACAGCATTTTATTTATGGAATTTGTTTTATGTTTCTTGAAAACAAATGAATCATGATTTTCTGAAACATTTAAACTATCTTGAAATTATCAACTCCATTGAGGAATTTTAATTACAAATAATAAATTATCTAGAAGTTTGACTGCAAGAGAAAATTTAAGCATTATCAATTTCAAATTCCCATACACTGAACTTTCTGATACCCCCTTCTAATGACAAGAGACACAAACAGGCTATCGAGCAAGAATCTGTTAACGGTTTATTTTTTTATGTTAAATACCATGGGACAGGATTGTAAGGATGAAAAACTCAGTCAACAACTGCCTCACAAGGGATAAGAAAAATTCTGCCATGATATTAGCAAAGGTAAAGGAGAAAATTTACACGGTAAGAGGCACCATTTCCCCACAGAACACCTCTTGGCATTTCCTGAATGAGTGGGATTAGCAATCTAAATAAATCATATTTCAAGAGGTAACAGCAACAGATAAAATTTAAAGGGTTATTAAAACAACATTTACAAGACTCTGAACAATTCTTGAACTCTTATTAAACCACAAAGAAAGAACAATTCTTTATTTATGAATTTCATAAAGGACAGAATGTGCAACTGACACCTGCTAGTGATGATCTGGTATTATACAATTTGTCCAGTAGCCGAACAGTTTGTCTTATTGTGTTTTCTAACCGTAAGAGATCATTAAAGGCAAAGCCTATATGTCGCTGTACACACACAAAAAAAATGGTCACCGCGGGCCATACTACCAATGAAATGGTAGGTAAACAAATTTTTTTCTGGTCAGAAGGAAATAAAAGAAATAGTACTCGGCATGCTTCACTCTACAAGATGAATTTCCCTAGAAAGAATCCAATGAAAATGGCTGCAATCACAACCAGAAGAGAAGGAAGAGGACTGGTGACATTATCTCTGAAGGTTGCAGTTGAGGTTGATCCAGGTTTATCCGAATGTGCTACCTTTCTGAGCCTTAGGCCTTCATCCTAGGGAGGAAAATGCACAAAAAGAGACTTTAAAAACAGATACAGACACAAATGAATCTACTGTAACTAGAAGTCTAAAGAGATTGAGGCAGATCAGTGGCTACTAATCATCAGGAACCTGAGGCAAGATGGAAACAATTCTGGATTAGAGAAATTGCTGTACCTTTCTATAAATTTACTAACGGTCCTTAAATTGTATACTAACAATGAGTGGCTTCATACGATGTAAATTATATCTCAGTAAAACTAGTTTTTAAAACTCAGAAACATATTCCTAAAAAGCTTATTCGGTGAAGATGGTCCACATTATTTTAAACTGGTTATACTTGCTGGTCAAAGACTACCAAGAACAAACTAGTTACCTAACAGCTTCATTAATTCTTATAATTCAGGAACACATACAACAGAGATAAAAGGGACTGGTATCTTACAAAAGAGATAACATAGAAACTGGGAAAAGAATTTCAGGATACAATTTGAGAAACAATGCTTTGATAATGTGCAGTATGCTTCAAACAGAGTGAAAAACTGTACAAAGGTCAGCATAAGGTCTAGACTGCAAAGTGGATACAGAATCCTTTTTCTTAAAAAAAAAACTCCAAAAAAAAAAAAGATAGAGGTAGAATCCTTTACCTATAACTCTCCCCTGATTTGGAAACTGAGGCTGCTTCTGTGTGTCAAAATAAGTCAAATCCTTTAGCGAAGATTGGGCTGCTTCATTCTTACTGAATTGTTTTGCACAGCACTAAATTTCTAACACTTAATGTTCTAAGAGGACAAAGTTTCTCAAGAAAGTCTCTCAAAGTGGGCAGTTATGTCACTGTACGCCTTGGGGAAAACACTCACCAGTTAACACTAACTATGCAGCTGGCTCTGTTATATAAGCTGATGAATGGCATTTTACTTCCTCAACGCAAACTAGTTTTTACTCTCTCACACAATTCCTCAATTATGTTTACAAATGCAGATTTCTAATTTTATGATGGTTGAATTTACAATTTTTGACTTTAGGGTAATTTAAGTGTTATTAGTACAAACTGTACTTTGAATTTTGATCTCAGTTCTGAGTTGAAGATGCTGAACGACTCATCACTTGGCATGACCAACTTGTACTCAGCAAAAGCAGAGGGACAATTCCTGAGTCAGCCTCACAACTTCAAGAGAAAACCAACAATAAACTGTGTGTACTGTGCTATGTGGCTAAAACTGTTTCACAGGTTATATGTATTGAATGTGTTTTGACTTAATTATAATTTCAGATATTAAGCTTTGCAGGAATTCAATTCTTTCAAAATCCATACCTGACAGCTATACCTGTTTTATACCTGTCTTATTTCCCTTACTGGGTTTCTGTAGCATTATACTTTATTAGCTCTTAGTAACTCAGGACCAGCTACCCATCACAAATATTTGAATAACTTTTGGCATATTTCCAGAGATTCTGAGATAATATTTCATCTAAGGAGAACCTAATTGTTTCTAGTTTTCAAAAGTTCCCTTGGATGATCCAGATTTACAATATTTATGAGTACCACACAGCTATAAAAACAAAAAAGTACAGTGAGTGAACATGGCCAACCAAGTTATATGACAAATTATCTTAAGCCTGTGCATATCACAATTTGTTATAAAAGTAACTATTACACAGTGGTCTTTTGAGTTTTCTTATTTTTTATATGGCAGACTCTGCTTTCAAATAAAGTCTCATAGAGAACACTGATAAAGAAGAGACATCAGGAATAAAACTCTCATTGATTTTCCCATTTCCTGTCTATTTTCTAGTCCTTTACTATCTATTGTCATTCCATCAGGAATAAAAGTCTCACCGACTTTCCTGTTTCCTGTCTATTTTACAGTCCTTCACTATCTATTGTCATGCCTATCATTTATACTTGCTCCTTGCCAAGAGAGACTGCAGCAATTAAAATTAACCAAGCCGGGCATTGGTGGCTCATGCCTGTAATCCTAGCTACTGAGGAGGCTGAGATCTGAGGATTGCCATTCGAAGCTAGCCCAGGCAAGAAAGTCTGTGAGACTCTTATCTCCAATTAACTACTAGAAAACCAGAAGTGGTGCTGTGACTCAAGTGGTACAGCACCAGCCTTGAGCTGAAGAGCTGAGGGATAGTGCCCAGGCCCAGAATTCAAGACCCACAACCGACAAAGGAAAAAAACAAAAGAACTACTGTGAGAGTCATTGTGAAGTAAAACCAACAATAAAAAAAAAAGTCTTAAGAAATTTATTATATGAGTGTGAAACAGACATTCTTTCCTCACAGGCCAGGTGCCGGTTGCTCACACTTATAATCCTAGCTGCTCATGAGACTGAGATCTAAGGATCATGGTTCAAAGCCAACCTGGGCAGGAAAGTGTGCTGACACTCTTATCTCCCCAATTACCCATCAGGAAATCAGAAGTGGCACTATGGCTCAAGTGGTAGAGCAATCACCTTAAACTGAAGAGCTCAGGGATAGTGCCCAAGCCCAGAGTAAAAACCCACCATCGATCGATCGATCGATCGATCAATCGATAGATAGATTGATTCTGAGAAATCACTAAAAAAGGTTATACATCAACTCAATATATGATGACTTAAGAGTCAGAGTATAGTTCCTCAAACAGTTAGCAGTAATATCAAGTATAGAATTTCTAGAATTTAGCTATCTACTTATATACATTTTTGCACCATCTGCTTTGATGTCAAAGCTTCAAAGTCTAAAAGCAATTTAAAAGTACTCAGCTCTTGAACAAAGGTAATTACATGTCAAAGGCAAATTATTCATAAACCTCACAAATCAGTCTTCCTTTGACAGTCTTCCATCCATTTAAATATATGCACATGCTGTGAATGCAAAGAAAATGAAACAATCCTTCTCTGAGAAAATAGTTGTTCATTCAGAAGAAAAAGGCCTCAAGCAAATAAGAGCAATCATCAGATGTAATGAATGATAAAACTCAAGGAAAAAACATTTGAAAACAACCATTTTGTTTTTGAGGGAAGCCTATACTAAAAGGTGAAGAAAGAATAAGCATGTGGGGCTGGGAAGGTGGCTCAGTGGTAGAGCACTTGCCTTGCATGCATGAGGCCCTGGGTTCAATTACTCAGTACCACATAAGCAAAAAGAAAAAGCCGGAAGTGGCGCTGTGGCTCCAGTGGTAGAGCGCTAGCCTTGAGCTGAAGAGCTGAGGGACAGCACCCAGGCCCAGAGTTCAGGCCCCACGACCGGACCCGCCCCTCCCTGCCCCACAAAAAAGAGTAAGAATGTGCTTATGTATATACTACATGGACAGCAGTTTCAGGACCTTATAGTCAGAACAAAGAGCAAAAAAGAACTAGCAAGAGATACTTCTTTAAGGTAATGCAGCTCAAAACTGTTCAACAAAAACAAATGAGCTTCAAATGTAGGCCACACATAATTATAAATTTTCTAATGAAACACTAAAAAATAATTTATAAAAAATTTGTAAATATTTATAAATTTGTACATAAATATTTGTAAAAAAATAATTTGTAAAAAATATTTGTGCCATTAATTTTAATGTATCATTGGTGTACATTTTATACTCACAACACAACTCTGAACGAACTACATTTCACATTCTCAGCAGTTCCCAGTGACAAGTGACTAAAAGATAATACAGTTTTACCTGTACTGGGACACAAAAAGTAAACAATAATACAAATAAGAGAGGAGATTAAAGCGAGGTAATCCTAGCTACACAGGAGGCTAAGATCTGAGGATCAAGGATCAAAGGTTCAGGCAGTAAAGTCCATGAGACTCTTATCTCCAATTAACCACCAGAAAACCAGAATTGGCACTGTGGCTTAAGTGGTAGAGCAATAGCTGTGAATTGAAGAGCTGAGGGACAGTACCCAGGTTCAGAGTTCAAGCCCCATGACCAACAAAAAAGAGAGGAATGTTAGCAATGCCACCAGCCATTATCACAAATAACTAAGATACCACAAAGCAAAGGAACTCACCAGCATAATAGAATTTCTCAAACCTCACAGTCTTTAGAGTTTACCCTTAACTTCTCTAATTCCATTTTACTTCTGTGACTTCATTTTAGAAGCAAAAAGCACTCAAGAACCACAACCACCCATCAGACTAGCTCCTTATGGTTTAACATGTAAAAATATGTACCCAATGTTCCGTTTATGTCCCTTAGTAAGGGTCACACTGCCCTTGTTCAATGCTGTGTTTGGCTTCTGTAACTTCCCACTTGGCTTGCATCTTCAGGAAAGAACCCTTAGTAAGGACTTTATACCCCTGAGCAAACAAGGATGTAGGGTTTTGGTGTAAAAGGAGCCTTAAAAACTGGCTCAACATTGAACTTGGGGAGCTGATCCAGTGTAGTCACTAGCCAGCTAATAAAGACTTTCTATAACTGTACTCTGTGTCTGTGTGCTCTCTCATGGTTGCTTACCTGATTGCTTACAGGGAACTAGAGAAGCCATGGTGAGGCTGTTAAAGAATAAGAAATAAAGACAGAGTACCAAAATCAAGAGATAAACTGGAAGAAAGGAGAAAAAAATGATAATGGAGCCTAATAATACATTTCATATACCTTTTAAGTACAACTAACTCATTTTCATCAACAGACTTACTCTCAGATGTCGATTTTCTTCTGATAGCTTCATCATTTCTCCCTGAAGTCTTTTACATTCTTCCATTAGTTTTCTTGTTTCAGTATCATTGAGTGAAGCACTATGCGGTTTTGGCATGGGTCCATCTTGCTTAGATGCATTTAGTGGAACAGCTTTGCTAGGTTCCATGTCATTCTGTATTACAAAGATATTGGTAATCTTTAACCAAATCTCCTTATGGATTTTAAACAAATAAAAATGTAAATTCTTTACCTTTCTTTGCAAAAAAGTTGATAATTTTTTGATACCAAATATCATGGTCATCTGTGAACCATTTCAATTAAAGTCAGTATTAACCAATAGATAAATCAAAACAAGCAGCCCACTCCCTCATCTATACTCCAGTACCCTTGATACTTACCATAGTACTTATCATATATCAAAATGATGTACTGTTCAAGTTCTTCCCTACAACACTGCAAAGGCTGGGAAAGCAACAGCTATTTCTCTTTGTATTTACCCCTAAATCCAGAACATTGGCCAAAAGTAGCTTTTTCAATCAAAGTATGCTGAACAACCGATACCAACCAAATCCAAATATGAAAGTCACTTCCAATGCTCAGATTCTGCAGTCTGAATGAGGCTCTAGGAGTGGGGAGTTAGGACTATGTTTCCATAATCAAAGAAATAACTACCTAAACACACACACACACACACACACACACTCCCTCTCTCTCTCTCTCTCATAGGAAAACCTAACAACTATTCAACTATTAGTGGATAAAATTAACTGCAGGGTATAAATATTGAAAGGAAAACAACAGACACAATGTACCATTGACCCAAAAAGTTTCATAGTTTATGAGTTTAAAGGTTAAGTGATTCAAGTTGTAATAGTGTTTAACTCATATGATTCATTTGGAATAACACTAAAGTATTACTTAAGACACTTTCAAAACTATGAAACCCCAACTCGTCATTCTTAACACACCACCATACCCATTTGAAGCAGATAAATGTTTTATGATAATTCCTATGGACCCTTATACCTAAGGACTGTTGCCTCAGTATACTTCACCTCAACCTCATTTCTGCCACCACATAGCATACCATCAGTGTAACATGTTGTCTTTTTCATTTTAATAAATTTTTAATTGTTGAAGATTTGGAGGGCTGGGGATATGGATCAGTGGTAGATCATCTGTATAGAATTCAAGAGGCCCAGGGTTCCGTACCCACCACCCAAAACATTGCAAGTAAGACATAAGCCTGCTTTGTTCAGATATAAACTGCTAAAAAAAATTAATAATAAACTTTATGGAAAGCACAAAGCTCATGTACAGTAAAATTTGAAGCAGTACATATTCTGTACCATCTTAGCCTCCAAATTTAAATAAGGTATAGACATCATTTAAGGTCAAAACTAGTAACGACTGAGGGGAAACAGTTGCTTACAACTGTAAACCTAGAACTAGCAACTTAGGAACCTGAGGTGGGAGGATTGAGCTTCAATGCCAGTCCAGGAAGAAAAGTCTGAGAATTTTGTCTAATTAACTCCCAATATGGTGAGGGCCATCTTTGAGTACAAAAGCTAAGAACAGCACTGAGGCACTAGCTCAAACTCCAGTATGGGCACAAAAACAAAAAATAAAACTAGTAGCCCTTAGAAAGATTAAACTGATCAGTACGTAGAAGCCCATTTAAAAAGTAATCATGTTATAATAAGGTTCTGATATACATTATATTTGACCTGCCTGGAAGCTTTTCCATTTATGGTCAGGGTCACAGTTACAAAGTATGATTTAATACTCCTACTTCAGTATCTTCCCCAAGTTTTTCTCTCGTAAGCATTCTTGTTCTTCAATGCAATCCCTGATGCTTAGCTAATCCTGCCTTTACTATGAGAAATGTTTTAGATATATTTTTCTCTTCTGCCAATGTTTTCTTTTCCTTAATAGCAACTAAAATTCTCCAAAATGATTCTTCTTCCAAGTGTGCTCAAATACCATCCTAGTTTAAGTCTAACTTCTGATTTACAGAGGGCTTCATGCTTTAAAGGTCATATTCAGTAATGTAACTATTATAGCTAGGCACCACTGGCTCACACCTGTAATCCTAGCTACTCAGGAGGCTGAGATCTGAGAATCACAATTAAAAGGCAGCTAGGGCAGGCAAATCCACGAAACTCTTATCTCCAACGAACCACCAGAAAACCCAGAAGCAGCACTGTGGCTCAAAGTGGTACAGTGAAAAAGTTCAGGGGCAGGGCTCAGGCCCTGAGTTCAACCCTCATAACTGATGTCCCCCCGCCCACCTCCAAAAAACAGGTAACTACAAAATCTTCAGGTTTTGGTGGCTCATGCCTGTAATCAGGAGGCTAATATCTAAGGATTGCAGTTTGAAGCTAACCCAAGCAGGAAAGTCCATGAGACTCTTATCTCCAATAAACTACTTAGAAAAGGCCAGAGTGACACTGTGGCTTGAGTGGTACAATGCTTGCCTTGAGCACTGAGAGAGAGGCTCAGGGACAAAGACCAGGCCCAGAGTTCAAGTGCCAGGACTGGCCAAAAAAAAGAAAAAAAAAATCAGGTTTTGGTTAATGATTGGGGAAAAATAATCATATCCAATCTGAAAGCTGGCAAAGAAATGAGGCTATATATGACACTAGCAATGAAAAGAAAAAAGTTAAAATTTAAAAAAAAATAAGCTCTTTACAAATAGGTTGTTCTTTAAATCAGGAGGATATCATCCCATTATTCATTAGTCTAACAGCCATTATTTATCTTCTGATATTCTTTTATATGCACATTTTATATAATGTACAAAATCCTAAATTCTAACCCTGGGTTCAAACCCCCCCAGAACTGCAAAAGGAAAAAGTGAGCATATACACGATCCTTTCCTTACTTTGCCAATTTATATGTTATCTCAAGTATAACTTTAAATGACACAATATGTCATTATTCTATCCTATGCCTTACCAAAATTATTTAACATTTCACTTTTGTTTGCAGTTAGTTTCACATTATTTTGGACTCAAATTAACACACTAATGTGTACTTTCTTACGATGGAAAATTAATTTTGGTTTATAGTTGAAAATTTTCTTCATGTTGTTTACATAACAAGGAGAACATATAACCAACCAATTTGTGGAGTATAGGTATTCATAATAGAATGAAAGCTATATACTAAAGCCAAGTAAGTCATAAAACAAGCTACACAGAATAGTTCTATCAAATACTATTTAATCCCCCTACAAACCAGTCAAAATACATAGCAGATGCAAAGAAATCTAATTTATTTATGGATATTTAATATATAAGCAAATGTAACCTAACTCAGTTGGCATTTAAAGGGGGGAAGGCTGAGCCATTTGCGCAATGACAATCAGAAGAGCCTGATGGGAAACACTAAGCAGGTGTGACTTTAAGTAAATGCTTCCACTCAGGAGGTGAGGTTTGGCTGCAGGAAAACAGCTTGTTCCTTGAAAGGTGCTTCATACTGGTCCAGAAAGAGGAGACTGGTTGTTCTGAGAACCATGAAACAAGCAAACTAAAAGGATTCAACATGCTGTGATTCTTAATAATAAATAGCAACATTAGCATTATATTTAACAATAAGCTGAAAATTTAAGGAGGTACAGTAAGACTAGACAACATATCATATGTTGTACATCTTAGATTATTTAACCTATCTTCAATAGTCTCTTCATTTATGAATCACACTTCTGTATTCTTTTTAACCACCACCACCATTTTAATTACAATATTCCAAATAATTCTACAGAAAGCAATTAGAGCAAGGACTTGACATAGAAGGGGAAAGTAAAACATGAAGTAGCAAGTGTTTGCAATGAAGCTCTGTAGAGTGGCTAAAGGACGTAAGCGTACAACTGTATACTTAATACTACAAGTACAGGAGATAATATTTATGGCTTAAAGGGAAAAACTGTTTTAATATCAGAATTTTGGTTATAATCTGTGAGTTAAGAAATACCATTTGAGAGGGTGCCAGTGGCTCACGCCTGTAATCCTAGCTACTCTGGAGGCTGAGATCTGAGGATCGTGGTTCAAAGCCAGCCCAAGACATGACTTGAGACTCCTATCTCCAATAAACCACTCAGAAAACCAGAAGTGGTACTGTGGCTCAAGTGGTAGAGCGCTGACCTTGAGCTGAAGAACAGAGGGACAGCGCCCAGGCCCACAGTTCCACCCACGACTGGGAAAATAATGTAATATTTGAATGTATTCTTTCTGACCATGATTCCCAGAAATAAATTACTTCAAATTACAAAATCAAAAAAGTGCTAAAGGCATTTATATAAAGGGTATTTTTAAACTTTATTACTATGTACATTACATAAGCCAAAGTAAATACAGTCTATTAAAACTGGACAGTTTCTGAAGCTCCCAGTATGAAAAGAAATGGAAAAGGGAATCTTACAACATCCATACACCACTAAAATCAGTTACCTTACTGATGGGGGTGCCATTTTACTTTGTGAATTTAAATTCATACATACAGGTGTGAACACGTGTTCATGTGTACATTCACACACATACAATTAATAATGACCTAAGAACATTAGGTCTTTAGCTACAAATTTTCCTACCATAGAAGACTGTCAACAATTAAAAATGAGCTATGGAGTGTATTATACTTGTATTTGCAAAGAAATTTCAAAGTACAATTTCATCCTTTAAAACCTCAATACAAATATGTCTCTAAAAAATGTACTTGCCAGCTCCTATCAGTGCTGTACCTGCTATTCTAATTCAAAGAAGCTGTAAAATTAATTTTAGCATATGCTTTCTAAATCTTATTGACAGGAAGATTACAACTTAATGTTCACTTACTTTTATCCTTGCTGTTACTGACACTTTTTTTAATTAACACAATGAGCTAGGTCTACCAAATTAAGTGCTTTATGATTCTACAGCAGTTTTAAACATAGATTAAAAATTGAACTAATTACTTAGTTAGATGTAACATAGTAACAATTTATCTCCTTAGTTATTATCTACATTAACTTAGTAATACTAGTAGACTCCTAAGTCTGTTAACTCCCTATAACAAACCTTCTGCTTCTCCTGTTTGAACACACTGAGTCCCCTGGGATCATTCTTCGTGTGATAACTGGCAGGTGTTGCAACTGTGTTGTTGATGCTGCTCATTGAAGTGACAGTCGGAACAATCCCTGGTAGAGTTTTACCCTGAGATGGCATGGGAAACATATTCTCAGATTCACCAAACTCTGATTTCTCCTGTATGGTATTGGGAATGACTAACACAGACAGCATTAGACTCTAAAACATTGGTATTTTATTCTATTTTTTACCTAGTTATGCGTAAGAAACAATACTAATAAACAGCTATGTTAAAGCAAAAAAAGTTTCTAAACTTCCTTTCACATATATAGAAAATTAGTTATGACCTATTATGTATGGTCACTTATTAAATGTACATACTTCAACTTCATATTATCCTAAAATAAAATTTTCTTCCTCTTTACTACTACCAATTCATATCTGAAAAAGAAGTACATTCATGTTTTCTTACCTTTCATAGTATTTCTCCCCTAAAGTTCAAAATGTAATGTTTACTAACTACACTTCTTTACTCAAAAACTCCTCACTGGGCACCAGTGGCTTGCCTATAGTCCAAGCTACTCAGGAAGCTGAAACCTGAGAACTGAGATTCAAGACAACCCAGATAGACAAATCTGAGAGCAAAAAGCTGGAAGTGTAGCTGTAGCTCCAATGGCAGAGGTCCCGATCATGGGGTAAGAGAGGTGGGATTTCAAGCCCCAATACCACAAACAAAACAATAAAACTTCTTGTAAACATATGCTCATACATAACACACACACACACACACACACACACACACACACACACACAGATCAATAAAATCAGACTCATATAGTACTCTGTAAGTATTAACAGTTCTTTACCTAGGATTTTGTCTCCTGAATTCCTTTAGAATAAATAAAAATATTAATCAAAAAGGTTGGAACAGACTTGCTGATATTCAATCTATCTGTCCTTTGTTTCAACCAAAACGTTTATTTTTTAACAATAAGATGTCTTTATAAAAATATCTCTGAAATCTCTATTGTCTGTAGCCCTAAAATCTTCATTAAAAAATCTGGAAAATGTCAAATAAAGTTAAGGCTTCAAAATACTTGAACTCACAACAGATCATAAAACTTTAAGAATGAAAATAAAACACATTCAATCCTTTAAAAAAAAAAACACTATCACTCAGACACTAGGTATTTCCTAACACTAATAATAATTTAGAAAACTGTATTTTATGCAACTGTCAACACTGTATAATATTATCTGCATGAGTATCTCTCTAATACTGGTAATGAAAACAACTCTACTGCTGAAAACACTACAGACCCTTAATGAACGACACTCAACCACACAACTGATGTTCCCTGGGTATAAAGGTAATTTTAATTACACATCTTACTGTACAGTATTATTTTATGCTTGCCCAGGGGAAAAAATGTATTTCATTCAAAAGTAAAGGGATTCTTAGCTTTCCTTGGCCATGTTATCTATAAATAATCAGAGGTATATGTCCAAAGAGAAATCCATTAAGGATTGATGGTTCAAATAAATCAGTTGCCTTATCTGCCCAAAAAATCCAACTGTTTAAATAGAAAAACATGGATTCCACCCCTGCATTTCTAAAGCTGCTTCCTTATATTACCTTACAAAACTTCCATCATGTCCTTATGTACATACTTAGTATCAAGATCTTAAAATTTCTAAAAAAATCAACAAAATACCACCCTTTCCCCAGATTTTAGAATGCATAAATGTCCAAGCACTAATAACAAACCTAAAAAGATCAGTAACCTCCGGTGCATGCAGCATACATATATATCATACTTACATACGTGCATACTTTTTGGAGGTGGGCAGGAAGGCATGGTGAGATATATGAAGAAGTAGGTAGGATAGTTACCAAAAATCACAAAGGCCTGCTATCTCTATCATGTTTGAGAAGAAAGCATCAAGAAATAAGCTGATAAAATCTTAATGATCAACTGAAGTATGGCAAAAATTGCTGTTTGACAATGGATATGGTTAACTAATTTGATCATGGCAATTTTCTCATAATGTACACTATACATATAGGAAGCATAATAATAAAGTATAGTATACTATGGACTTCCCCACAGCTTCAAACAGCAAAGAAGGATCAATACACAGTGCATATGTCATCTAGAACTGCATTAAGCTAGAAATTATCACCAACTACTTGTTAAAAACTAAACTTAATTTTGGTAAGGTTGATACACTAATAGCCAGAATGGAGATATAACTCATTAGGAGCCAGCCTTTTCTACTTGTTGTCCTAGATGCCATCCCAAATACTGCTAAACAAACAAACTAGAAAAGAGAAAAAGAACAAGAGTCAACATATCTCAAGGAATTTGGTATGTCACAACCAAAACTTCTAAATGCATACATATTTTATATTCTTGTGCTTTTTTTTGTTTTTTCCCATGCTGGAGCTTGAACTCTGGGCCTGGATGCTGTCCCTGAGCTTCTTTTGCTCAAGGCCAGAGATCTATCTATCACTTGAGCCACAGCTCCCTTTCTGACATTTTTCACAGACTGTCCTGCCTGGGTTGGCTTCAAACTGCAAATCCTCAGATCTTAGCCTCATGAGTAGAAAGGATTACAGGTGTGAACCACCAGCTTCTTGTACTTTTATAAATATATTTTACCAAAAACATTTTATCTGAATACTTTTGTTGTTCAACCACTTGACTCACACCTTTAGCTCTTTCTGCACTGTTTATTTTAAGATTGGGCCTTACTTTTTCTTTTTCCAGGTCAGCCTGGACCACAAACCTTAGTTATATTTCCACAAACATTTTTGCTCATCCTGATCTGAATCCACAATCTTAGCAATATTAAGTCTTTCAGTCTTCCATGTAGCATGTAGCTGGGATGAAGATGTGAGTACCTGTACCTGGCTCAGAGTATTTAATAACATATCTGAAACTAATTTTTTTGACAAATTATACTTAAGCATAACACTATCTATGCAAGTATACCCAAATTTCCAAAAAGACTAATTTCTTATAGACCTAACACAAAGGGGATATTATGTAATTTAATCTATTAATGCTTTTTTTAAAATAATGTAAAATATAGTATGACCTTTTATCAACTTCCCTAAAGACAATACAAAACTGGAAATTATTGATAAGACATAACTACGATATAAAGTAATATAAAAGAGGAGTTGTGAATTCATTTATATGTATTCATAAAAAGTTTCGGCCAGGTACCAGTAGCTCATGCCTATAATCCCAGTTAGTTAGAATCATAGTTCCGAACTAGCCCCGGCAGACAAATTCAAGAGACTCTTATCTCCAATTAACCAGCAGCAAGCCAGAATGGTTAAGTATGAGTAGTGAGCAAAAAAAGCTGACCAAGAGCTCAAGGCCCTAATTTCAATTTTAAGGACAGAGGCAAAAAATAAACCAAAAACCCAATCTTGTTAGTTGTTATATATAAGCAAGTATTTCCTATTTTATGTTATCATAAAGACTTCAGCATTGTTGATTTGAGGTTTCATATTTTCTGTAAAGAATGTGATGCAACATTAAACTCTATCAAGATTGCAATGAGTATCTCAGTGGTTAACAGTGCTTATAGAATCTGCATACTACTAACTGGCCTCAGAAGAGTTAAAGTCAAAGAGGAATATTTTGAAAAGCATTTTTCAAATGATGCAATGAAAACTATGCTATATTAAAGAGCAGATCCCTTCCTAGATAGTGCTAAGTTTTGCACACTGAATTATCCAGTACTTTCAAAATTGTATCCTATTAAATGCAATCATCATTTTAAAAAATGAAAGAATCCACCTCATCCTATGCACCTATGAAGCAATTTCATCATTAAAATTTTGCCATTTGAAGAAACTGTCATTTGATAAATAAGCTTCCACTCGAATCTTGACCAAGACTGGCTTAACAAAAATTCTGACAAGATCAAAAATCAAAGCAGGCATGGTGGCTCAAATATGTAATCCCAGTACTCAGAAGGCTGACACGGGATTAATAGTTCAAAGCCAGCCTAGGCTACCTAGCAATTTTGTCTACAAGCTAACAAATAAGTTGTGATTTTCACAAACCTTTTCTTTGGTCCGGTTGTGGGGCCTGAACTCAGGGACTGGGCGCTGTCCCTCAGCTCTTCAGCTCAAGGCTAGCACTCTACCACGCCACAGCACCACTTCCAGCTTTATTTTTTCTGCTTATGTGGTGCTGAGCAATGGAACCCAGGGCCTCATGCATGCAAGGCAAGCGCTCTACCACTGAGGCACCTTCCCAGCCCCTTCAAATACCTTCTCCCACTGAAAGGACATAGAGCTTCTAAAGAAATAGCTGATTACAGATCTGGGCATACCTGGAAAAAAATCTTGCCATATCAAGTATCAGCAAAGTTACTAATAACTACTTGGACCAAAAGGACTCACATACTGACTTGAAAAACCTCTTGTCATCAATCTGAGCATCAATGATGCTAACAACTGCAGGGAGTAGAACCTTAACACTTATTTAAACCCTAACCCTAAGCAGAGAAAAACAGACCTAGAACCTCAGCTATTTGGAAGATAGAAGGAAGATTCCACATTGAAGCCCAACTAGGCAAATTAATCAAGATTTTACCTCAAAAACAAAATAAATGCTGGTGCTAGGGGCTCATATCTATAATCCTAGCTACTCATGAAGGCTGAGATCGAAATTCAAAGACAGCCCAAGAGCTCAAATGGTAAAATGCCAGCTAAGCAAGCAAGCCAAGCAAGTGTAAGGCCCAGAGTCCAAATTCTAGTTTAAACAAAAAATAAAAACCCAAATTTGTAGAGAAGATGGGGAAAAACAAGTCGTTTAAGGATATAGGTGGACGCATTGTACAAGTTGTCATGTCGAAAACGAACTTTACAACTTTGGGGCGGGGGGGGGGGGGGGGGGAGGCTGGGAAGGGATGTTAAGGGTAAACAAAGGAGGAGGCTGCAATACTTGATAAGAAATGTAGTCATTATCTTGCCCATGTAATTGTAACACCTCTGTACAGTATGTTCACAAAAGAAAAAGAAAAAAAATTTAAAAAGAAAAAAATCAAAATAAAAACCCAAGGGGATACAACTTAAGTGGTAGTACATTTGCATGTACAAGGTCCAAGGTTCAATACCCAGTACAAAAATGAAAGGTAGAAGAGAGAAAGAAAGAGGACAAGAGAAAGATTAGTTTTAAACATTAGGAAGGAGGTTTGTTTTAAACACCAACAGAAGGATGCTTGTGAATCAGCTCACTTTTTAAACACATATAGCTAAAAGAGACAAGCATCTATTCTGCCTTCGTAAATTGTCACTGAATAATCAAATACTAAATGAAAATTCATTTTTACATAAGTATCCTAAACTGTACATAAAATAGAATGACAGAACAGATCTAAATTGTTATTTTCTAAATCTCAATTTCATTGACATTTTAAAACCCTAGTTGTAGGGGCTATAGTCTTCATCACAGAAAATTAAGCAGCATTCTAGGCCTCCACCAAATTAGACAGATGTTTGAAGTGTCTATCCCCTCCTTTCACTTAAGACTTTGTCCCTGAGAGACAAACCAAACATCCTGGATAAAGATTTCTCAACTAGACACTGTACATACATCAGTGGGCTGCTTACACTGCCACCATGCCAACAACAAAAAGGAGGCATTACGTGCCTCCTTGAGACTAACACCCAAAAGGTAAGTCTCCCCCCCACACCACACTTCCAGTAAAAACAAATCTAAATTTCATCAAGCTCCTAGATCCAACTTCCAATTATAGGAAATGCCAAAGATAAAATTAAGTGATACCACATGTAGGAAACCATTCATTTATTACTTTTGTTGAGAAAAGTAAAGCTAGTCTACTAACACTTCCATGGTCCAGAGATGTGTCTCAAGTAGTAAGTGCTAACTTACTACTCGAATCTTGACCAAGACTGGTTTTACAAAATTTTTGACAAAATCAAAAATCAAGGCAGGCATGGTGGCTCAAGTATGTAACCCCAGCACTGAGGAGGATTGACACGGGATTAATAGTTCAAAGCCAGCCTAGGTTACCTAGCAACTCTGTCTACAAGCCACAAGTGCCTCCAACCAGGCACTGGTGGCTCACAGTAAGCACAATGCCCTGACCTCAAACCTCCATACTGACCAAACCCCTCCCCCAAACACATCATTTAGATTGCTTCAATTCTAAAAAAATAGTTGATTGACACTCATGAGATGAATTTAATGTTAAACTAGTAACACATTTTAAAAGCATTATCAGGTACCAGTGGCTCATATCCATAATCCTAGATAATCAAGAGGCTGAGACCTGAGGTTCAAAGCTAGCCCAGGCAGTAAAGTCCTTCAAACTCTTACCTCCAATTAAAGCAAAATGAAAGAAGTAGCCAGGCACCTATAGCTCACGACCATTATCCCAGCTACTCAGGAGGCTAAGATCTGAGGATCATGGTACAAAGCCAACCTAGGGAGGAAAGTCCATGAGACTCTTATCTCCAAGTAACCACCAGAAAACCAGAAGTGACGCTATGGCTCAAAGTGGTAATGGGCTAGCCTTGAGCAAAAAAGTTTAGGACAGCCCAGGTCCTGAATTCAAACCCCATGACTGACCAAAAAAAAAAAAAAAGCCAGAAGTAGAGCCATGGCCCAACCGGTATGTTGCTAGCCTTAAGCACAAAAACTCAAGAGAGCCAACTCCCCAAGTTCAAGCCTCAGGACTAGCATTAAAAAAAAAAAAATTAAGGTTTATTATAATGAGAATTATGTTAAAGATGTATCCCTTTTACAGTCCTTGGAAAAATATCTCAAAATAATTTGTAGATTAGGACTGGAGGCAGGCCTAAGTGGTAGAGTAACTGCTTGGCAAGCAGAAAAGTCTGTGATAATTATCTCCAAATAACTACAAAAATAGCTGAAAATGGAGCTGTAGCTTAAAAAGTGGTAGAGCACTAACACTGAACACAAAAGCTCAGGATAGCACCTAGGCCCTGAGTTCAAGCCCCAGGATCAGCACTCAAAAAAAAAAAAAAAAAGATATTTCAAAACTTCAACAAATAATTTAGTCAAAGAGACATTCAGTAATGTTTTCATTTCAGCCTTACTGTAAGAATGATATAATAAGTGAGCTAAACAGGACAAATGATTCCCCATATTTAAGCCAAGAGTTATGTCAGATTATAACCAAGCAATTACATTCATCCATATTACTGTACTGTACATAGAAAAATAAAAACAATGAAACTTACCTATCAGTCTCCCCTACAAACCACTGGAATAAAGTTCAAATTTATATTCCAGACAGGAAATGTAACTCTATACAACCTACTCTATACATTTACAGATTAATGGCTTTTTACTCTAATTAAACATGTACCTGTACCTCAGTCCTCAAAATTGTATTTGCTTCATATTAATCAATAAGCACCAATAATTACTCTGCTAATATATAATAGTGCCAGATGCTAATGGCTCACACCCATAATCCTAGTTCAGGAAGCTGAAATCCAAAGAACCACAGGTTTGAAGCCAATGGAATCAGAAAAAGACCATGAGACTCCATTTCTAAACTAACCTGCAAAAAGCAGGACTGGAGGCATGGCTCATGTGATAGTTGAACAAGCACAGGACCCTGAGCTCAAATCCCAATAACGAAAATAAAATAAATAAATAAATAAATAAATAACAAAATCCACACTGATTTTAGCCAAATGAGCAAAGTATTTTAGCAAAGATCAAATACAGAATGAACTTGAAGGGGCTTAAATGGCCGAGATGTGATTTAAATAATTTTTCACCCAGAAACTTAGACCTACAAGATGAATTATTTCTTAGAAAAATAAAATAATATAAAATGAAGTCAGCCAAGTTGTTGTGTTTAGTGTTGTGGTTGTTTGCAGGATTTGAACATAGGGTATTTCCCTGAGTTTTTGTGTTCAAGGCTAGTATTCTAGGTGGTTAATTGGAGAGTCTCACAAACTTTCCTGCCTGGGCTAGCTTCAAACTATAATCCTCAGATCTTAGCCTCGTGGGTAGCTAGGATTAGTTGTGAGCGAACAGCATCTTGGCTTGTTAAGTTTATCTAAAAATGTCTTAAGTAGACAAACCACAGACTATATACCCTAAAGTCCAAAATAAAAGCTGGTAATCCAAGTACCTAACAAGTTCAACTTAAATTCCAAAATTTTTTGTAACATTTTCCTACTTACCAGTTTATCATTTTCATTGGGCATTTCAAATACACATCTCAACTTAGAATCCATTAATTCATCAGGTTTTGCCTCCTTCCACTAAAAAACAAAGCCATTATGAGACATAAAAAGTGTGACTGTAGCAAACATTTTACCTGAAGGGATTACTATAGCTCAAGTACGGCTGCTCTGGGCACTAGTGAAGAGTATATAACTCAGCCAGGACCCCTGATGGGGTGTGCATTACAATTATAATCTCCTAGTGTCACAAAACCTTCAGATAATCCTAGACTTAAAGTCACCATCCATTAATTTGATATCAACAGTGATAATGTAAGTTCAACCCCATTTCTGAATGATTTCAAAGCAATACTTCAAAATTCTTCTTCAAATTAGGATTCTTTGCAATGAACAGACATTTTCAAATGTTAAAAATTAGGTTTGTTAGCCGGGGCACTGGTGGCTCATGCCTTGCAATCCTAGCTACTCAGGAGACTGAGATCTGAGGATCACAGTTCAAATCCAGCCCAGGCAAAAAAAGTCCATGAGACTCTTAACTCCAATAAACCACCAGAAAACCGGAAGTGGCACTGTGGCTCAAGTGGTAGAGTGCGAGCCTTGAACTGAAGAGTTCAGGGCCAGCACCCAGGCCCAGAGTTAAAGCCCAAGTCCAAGCAAAAAAAAAAAAAAAAAATAGGTTTGCAGCCTGGTACCAGTAGCTCATACCTCTCCTAGTTTACTCAAGAGACTGAGAATCACTATTTGAAGCCAGCCCAGGCAGGAAAAGTCTGTGACAATAAAGTCCATGCAACTCTTTGTCTCCCATTAAACACCAAAAAGCTGAACAGTAGAGTGGTGGTTCAAGTAGAGTACTACCCTTAAGCACAACAGTTCAGGGATAGCACCCAAGCCCTGAGTTCAAACCCCAGGACATACACACACAAATAATACATAAATACACACTCTCTCTCTCTCTCTCTCTCTCTTTCTCTCTCTCTCTCACACACACACACACTCTTCTATACTTACCACAGCTTCCATATCTGTAAAGTTTGGTGGAGCAAAAATTGTCTGTACCATAAACTTATGTTTACTTTTTTCATTCGGATCATAGTCAAAGGGTTGCAGCATTACTAAATAAGAAAAGACATATTTGGTTATCATTTCTATGACCTCAGTAACAACTCAACTTTAAAGAAAACCAAGATGGCTTAAGGAAGCAAACACTGGATTTGTTTTGTTTGTTTGCTAGTCCTGGGTCTTGAACTCAGGGCCTGGACACTGTCCTGGAAGCATTTGGTACTCAAGACTGGCACTCTACCCCTTGAGCCACACTATCACTTCTGGCTTTTTCTGTTTATATAGTACTGAGGAATCAAACCCAGGGCTTCATGTATACTAGGCAAGCAACCTCCCACTAAACCACATTCCCAGCCCTTGGACTCTTTACACTAAAGTATCCACAATCAACTTTATGGGCCCCAATAATTAATTTTCTAATGTCTGTCTTCTGACTTCCTAAGTCATTAATAACCTAACAATATTTAAAAATGAATATGAATGTATGCTGCCTTCTCTAAACTTAATTTGTGAAAATTTTTAAACTTTATTGACATTAATATTAAATCTAGTAAACTGCTTGTTAAAACTACTTGCAATACAAATTTAGACGATTTTAGTATTCCGCTGTAATTTTAAATTACATAACTGAGATGCTTCCTTAGATACTCAATGACTTTAAAAACTACTTTAGACTCAGAAAGACAAAATGGCTCATGTTTTCTCATAAATGGAAGTTAGATTTAAATCATAAACATACATATGTATGCACACATGCGCATGTGCATGCGCACATACACATGCACGTGTGCACACAGACATGTGCGCGCACGCACACACACACACACACATACACGAGAATTCCAATGCATAACTCCTCCGAACAACTAGCCAACGTTTTAACAGAATGAATACCAAGAAGCAGAAACATTTGTTTCTTGGAGGGAGGGGTGTCAAAGGAAATAGGGCAGATAAATAAGAGGAAGGGTAGGTGAATACAGTCATTATATTCAATGCACACATACTTAAATGAAACCATTTAACTTGAAGCAATTGATGGGGTTGGGAAAGATCAGGGAGAAGTTAGAAGGGGTGACATTGATGAAGATGCATTGTACTTATAAATGGAATTGTTGAACTGAAACCCCTTTATATAAGTCTTAAACAAAAATCTGATTATCATGCTTTAATATTTTTCTAAAACAGATATAACAGTTCAATCAAATCTGATTCTAAGAAAATATGAAATCATAAAACTCTTGATGTCTGAAATTTTAATTCCTAGTATTATTATTCAAAATTTTTCTAATTCTTAGTAGCCTAAGAATTCCATGAGAAGAATCAGTAACTAGTCTAGTGAGTGGGTAGTTTATAAAGTTTTCAACAAGCTACTTGTTCAAATACAGGGGGATTGTGTAGAAGAAAGTGTTCTGAAAGTACATTTTTTTCTTAAGAATTACTAATATAAGTTCAGCAATCAGAAACCTTTGAAGAAAAACTTATTCAGAATACTTTTACGGATGCCTAGGTTTAATATAACTGCACTGATCTTTAACCACATGGATTTAATAATTACATTTTCTTCACGTTTAGCTAAAGGATTAAAAATGTAGACAGAAAACATGATCTGGAATGCTCGGGGCACTGGAGGCTTATGCCTGTAATCCTAGCTACTCAGGAGGCTAAGATCTAAGGATCAAGGTTCAAAGCCAACCTGAGCAGGAAAGTGTGACTCATATCTAATTAACCGGAAAACCGGAAGTGGAGCTGTGGTTCAAAGTAGTAGGGCCCTATCCTTAAGCAAAAAAGCTCAGGGACAGCGCAGGCCCTGAGTTCAGGTGCCAGGGCACACACACAGAAAAAAAAATCCAGAATGCATGTAACTCCTTTTTTTTGAAATGCTTATCCTGAGGCTTGAACTGGGCCCTGTCCCTGAGCTTTTGTGCTGAAGCCAGTGTTCTACCTACCCCTCAGGCACAGCTTTACTTCCTTCTTTTCAGTGGTTAATTGGAGATGAAAAAGTCTCACAGACTTTGCTGCCCAAGTTAGCTTTGAACCATCACCCTAGATTTTAACCTCCTGAGTAGCAATGATTCCAGGTGTGAGCCACCTGAGCCTAGCTAATTCCTTTGTTTTTAAATTTCTTAATCTTTTTCTTTGTGCCAGTACCAGGACTAGAGTTCAGAGAGACTGAGTACTGTCCCTTAGCTTTTTCACTCAAGTCTCTTGTTCTACGACTTAAGCCACAGCTCCACTTCTTGCTTTTGGGTAGTTAATTGGACTTTCCTGCCCTGGATAGCTTTTGAACTGTTCTCCTCAGATCTGAAGACTCTAGAGCAACTACAAATTACAGGTGTGAGCCTTCAGTACCTGGGCTCTCCCTTATACTCTTAATTTAACATTCCAAACTCCCAGTATAGGGTTTGAATTCAACTCTTAGGCAAGTAGTTATCTCTCACATAAGGTCTTAAACATTTTGCACAAGCTGGCCTGGGACTCAATTCTTCTGTTATACCTCTCACTTGGCTGGGATTACAGTTATGTTGTCATGCCTGGCTTGCTGAGATGGAGCTCTCCAAATTTTTTCCCTAGGCTGGTCTCCAACTGAAATACTCTCAATCTTTACCTTCAGAGTAGGAGGAATCAAGTATGTGCCACTAAATCCAGATATGTATCTTTCTCTTATTTCCCACCCATCTTCTCAGGAACTAATTAAGTGGACTAAGCAAGCAAATATAAAAGCAATCCTCCCAGGCCACCTTATCACAAAACTCTCTCAAACAACAACAAAAATCCTTTTATATAGCCTCCTAGCTCTCAAGTTTAGGATACACCTATGGGAGGACAGTGTCAACAAGAACTGTCTGTCCATCCTGCCTTTGCAGTAGTGCTATACTTTTAATTCTCTCAATGGGCCTGTTTTATTAGCCTTCCATCCTGTATAATTTGTTACTTTTAATATGCTGTAGGTTTGAAAATGTAAAACCAACACAAAATTGTTTTATTATCTTAGTATTTATTTATTAGGATTCGTCTAAGCTTTCTGGGTTTTTTGGGTGCAGACACTGGGGTTTGATTTCAGGACCTGGGTGCTGTCCCTCAGTTTTTTTACGCTCAAGCCTAGCTGAGCTACAGCTCCACTTCCAGCTTTTGCTGGTTAAGTGTAGATAAAGTCTCAGACTTTCCTACTTGGGCTGTCTTTGAACCATGATTTCAGCATCAGATTTCAGCCTTCTGTTAGGTCTGTCCGGTAGAAAAGGAAAAAGTGTTTATTTGGGGGAGAGCAAACTGCCGGCCCACATGGGCCCACAGGAGATGGAAGCATGCAGATCAAGCAAAAAGAGGGAGGGGACTGTGGATGAGTGGGATTATATAAAGAAAGATGGGAAGATGTGACCACAGCTGATCTGGAAGTGGTATCAAAGTCTGGGGAACCTCTCATTGTCCAAAGGAGGCATGACCAGGGCAGCTTAGGAAGTGACCTCAGAGTCTGGGGTCCTTTGCTGACTCATAGTCAGGTGATTACTGGTTTCAGGCAGGTGAAGAAGGGGGGGCAGAGGGAGAGGACCCTGTTCTCCTGGGCAGACCTAACACTAAGTAACTAGGTTTACAGGCATCAAGGATCTTTTTTAATTCAAGTATTTCTCAGCCATATCCCCAATTCTGACCTGAAAGATGCTGAATCTATAGGTGTGTCCCTCCTTCCCAAGTATGACAGCACACAGTGTGAGAATTAATGTTGTAAAAAAGAATAAATGGTCTACACATGAGGTCTAAGAGCTGGAGTCTAAGTACTAGAAACTGTAAGAAAACACTGTCTTTTCTATCAAAGTGTATTGCTTAAAAGTTCTTTCTTTGGCCTGGTGACTTGGTTCTTGCTAAGAAAAAGAGGAACTGCTTTGAGATAAGGATTTTTGAAATCTAAGTTTTGTCTTAGATTATACAAGAAATAGAGGACATGTGGGTATATTTTTAGATTATTTTTGAATTGTTAAAAAGTTTTGCCTTGCTGGGACAATTCTTTTTGTGTCCATCGCTGACTCCAATGGTTTTTGGAGAGCATATTTATAACAAGACATATATTCTCATACTTGCTTCCTATCTTTCAACTATATTAGATTGCTAAGGAGTACCATCTTGGGAAATGTTAAGGCACTGAGAAAACACATTACAGAAGGTATCAGCATAGATTCCACAGTAGTAAACAATCTATACATGGAAGAAACCAAGGACACTTTCCAAAGGTAAGTAAACAAGGGACTAATGAAGTTTTCAAAGGCAAGATACTTGCATTGCACACTTTAAGCAAAAACATCAGAACCCTACAAGTAATCATAAATATGCTGTCATTTTCAAAGATTAAATAGTAAGAGGAAATCATAGCAGAGAATGAAGTATAATCTAATTTAGAGCTTGACTTTTAGTTTTTTAACTACCAAGTTTTGACAATTACAAATTAATCATACTTACATAAGTGAGAAATGTTCTATGGAATAACCAGAGAATATCTTTGAAAGCAAAGTCAGAATAATATAAAAACTTTCTCTCCCCTCAAGATGAAACATTTACTTAACAAGTCAAAATATAATCATAAAACAACACAATTCAAAACTGATTTTTACCTGAAACAGTCACAGTTGAGCCTGGGTCAATAATTCCACTGTTGGGCCTCACACAGTACCGGCGAGGTGCTGTAGTTTTCACTTTGAAACATACTTTTCTATCCGACGGATTTCGCAATTTAAGATTTGTAGTGACTACATCTGTAAAGGGGCCTATTAGGTTTAAAAAGAGAAAAAAATGTAATTAGATTCATAACAAAAGATGAATTGAAAACTACGCAACATAACCTCAATTCTGTTTATATACTTATGTCTGTATAGGCACAAATATTACCAATGGCCAACAGTGCCTTTTTTCTAGGTGGTAGACTTACTAACCAGGTAATTTCCTCTTCATTCTGAACCTGTAACTTGCAACATGTCTACAAAAAGCATTAATTATTTTCTTTTAGTATCTTTTGGAAGTTTCAATCTATGGGATAAGTTAACAATTACATTCTTCTAGTATACTCTCACATGACTAAATGCAACAGAATTTTCTAATGGTCTTCAAACCAGTGCCAATTTAAAGTTCACCTTATGACATCCCTGTACCTGAAGACACTATAACTGACCACTATGTGCCACTCATCTCAATTTGACTTGGTGGACATAACTCATTTACTCAATCCATTCACTCACATTGTTCCATCTAAATACAAAGTTTTTAAGGTTTTAAGATTTGTTTTGAACCAAAACCAAAAAAAAAACAAAAACAAACTGATCTAGTCCCCATTTGCTTAAACCAGTAATCCTCAAGCCATGAAGATTTGTTATTACTGATTAGATAACAAAAATTAATTATTTGTTAATTTAGAGGCATGAAATAAAACTTCGAAGTGGAGCTGTGGCTCAAGTGGTGATGTGCTAGCTTGAGCAACAAAGCTCAGGGGCAGTGCCTAGCTAGGCCTTGCATTCAAGGACCGGGACCAATACCTGCACACCCATGCACACGTAAACACACAGAACTCATCTTATGTTTAATGAACATCAAAAGGGGACTGGAGGCTGAGGCCACTATAAAAGCTTATCTGAATTTGAATCTTCTGAGCATGAATAAGAGTGTCTTTCCAAACTTTGAAAGTCACAGTACATATGTCCAAACTCAGACAATTCTCCAACCAAGTAAAAGTTTTCATCTTGATAAATACTGGAAAAAACAAATCTAAAGAGGTATTAGAAAAGTGTGCTGGAGATGAAAGTCTTGTGTGAATGGAGAACAGGAAATTGACAGAACAAAGGTACAATAGTTTTGTTCAAGCCCTAGAAGTACAATGATTTTATTATGAATGCTTAATCATATTGTCAAGCTAATTCAACCTTTTGACGTATACCCTCTGTGGCTCTTTATTGCTCATATTAAAAAAATAGATTAGCTCCTCACCACACAGTCAACATCAAGGGAAAGGAAAAACTGTAACCTGTGTCCTTTATTATATACATCCACACAGGTTACATGGAAACACATAGCTGTAAAACAAGGAGTATTAAATTCTACCTTTACCATTCTAAAACCCATATTTAGAACTCCTCTTAAGTCATCCTCTCTCCAGAAGGTAAGTTTTTGCTACTTTCATTGCTTTTACTTTCAAATAACCTCTTATTCAGTTTTTTTTAAAAAACCCACAAATTATAACTGAGTGTAAAATTTTCTAAGCTACATTAGGCCTTTATTATTAGCACTAAGAATAAAAATCAAATTTCTTGGTTAACATAAGAACTTCAAAAATTATTTTGAACAATTCTGTATTTTCCTAATATCATTATGTAAGTTTAACACTTAATTTTTAAATTATGTGATATTTTTTATTTTCCCTAAAGAGAAAAATATGAATCTTCGAAATCAGTGATTTTTAAAACTGATTTTATTCTTTGGTGCCAGTCCTGAGTCTTGAACACTGGTGCTTGGGCATTATGCCTTAGCATTTTTTGCTGAAGGCTAGCACTCTATCACTTGAGCCACAACTTCACCTGCAACTTTTGTTTTTTGGCAGTTAACTGAAGGTTAACTTCTAGACTTTTCTGCTCATTTTTTCCCCTGATCCCTTTAAACTCAGATCTCAAGCCACAGAGCATGGTTCATGTTATCAATTTTATCAACCAACTTTTTAAAGGAAGGTTGCACCCAGCAAACACTTCAAAATCTGAGCCTATTTTCCAATACTGAGGACCACGAGCTAAGAATAACCAATTGCATAGCTTTAAAAAAGTCGTGGAAACAACTGGTCCACATTTGTAAAATCCAGATTCCTTTGTGAATCAAACAAACCCACCCCTAAGAAACAGATATAGACACACACACACACACACACACACACAAACTTAAATACTCAAGGGCTGGGAATGTGGCTTAGTGGTAGAGTGTTTGCCTAGCATGCAAAGCCCTGGGTTTGATTCCTCCGCACCACATAAACAGAAAAAGCTGGAAGTGGCACTGTGGCTCAAGTGGTAGAGTGCTAGCCTTGAGCCAAAGAGCTCAGGGATGAGTTCAAGCCCTAGGACTGGCAAAAATAAAATTAACACTCAATTTTAGGAATGGTAAGAAATTTGGGTTGCAGGGGAGATTTGTATCATTCCTCTACCCCAAAAGTTGATTATTACAGGCTTGAGGTCAAGTGTGTACTGAGCTAAAAACAAACTTTTACATGACAATGACACAGGGTATTTGTATGGCATTATGAATGACTGGGTTGTACAAGAGGGAAGGAATAATGGTCCACATCCGTTCTGCAATGCCAGGACAGCTCACTCATAGTATTATGCCCCCACCTTAGCAAATTTTCAAATACTGGTCCCTGCTGCAGCTTAGAACTCGAATGTCCCCTATAAGCCCATGTGCTAAAGGCTTGATCCTAAAGCAATGCTACTGAGAGGTAAAGGAATGTAGTGGGGCCAAATGGGAGAAAGTTAGATCAGAAGCGAAGTGTTCTAGAAAGGATTATGGAATTCCAGTTCCTCAAGGAGGCAAGGCTGAAATAATTAGCTACAGCAATGCAGGTCATTATATATGTTTATATAGGTTTTAGCAAATTAACTAGGCTGTTAACACTCTTAAATTATTTACATATCACCTAACTATATTTCCTAATCCATAAGCACACCAGGTACATTTTGGAGCATTAAAACTGAAAATGCCATCAATAAGCAATATATGAGAAGAATTTTAAATAGTGTGCTTCCCTTGTTCACACGAGTCAATGTGACCAAAGTATTTTTACAGAGTTTATGTCCAAGGAAGCTTTAAAATATTTTTCTACAAGTTTATAAATGAAGTTACCTTAAATATATTGGCCTCTTCTATCTCATACAATACTATAAGACTTGATGTAAGTAGGCCCCATAAAGACAGGCTCCTTCTTTTGTCTACTGCTATGTCTCCAACATCTAAACCAATACCTGGTATAATAGTAACAATTATTGTACAAATATCATACAAATAAACAGTATCACCGAAAGTCCTATTTCTAGTCAAACAAATTTAGCTACCAAAGGATTAAAAATTTTCTTCATAAAAATTTAGTATGAATTCTGAGCAAAACATTATTTTACCTACATTTGTAATACTGAAGTATTTATTCATACTGCATTAGTCAATTAAGTTTCTGAATGTTTCATTAAAAAAAAATCTCTACAACTCATCAAGCACAGCAGTCTCATCTGAAAATAAATAAAAGGACTATCAAACTCTATGGACCTAAAGTTGTAGTTAGAAGTTACTTAACCAACAGAACTGGGCACCAGTGTCTCACACCTGTAATCCTAGCTACTCTGGAGGCTGAAATCTGATGATATGGATTAGAAACCAGACTGGGCAGAAAATCCCTGAGACTCTTACCTCAAATTAACCACTCAAAACCCATAAGGGAACCTTACTGCATTGTTGGTGGGAGTGTAAACTTGTTCAACCACTTTGGAAAGCAGTATGGAGGTTCCTCAAAAGACTCCACATTTGGGCATTTACTCAAATGATCACAAACAAGACCATACTAATGCTACCAGCACAACTATGTTTATTACAGCCTTATTTACCATAGCTAAGATATGGAACCAACCCAGATGCCCCTCAGTAGATGAATGGATCAAGAAAATGTGGTATATATACACAATGGAATTCTATGCATCAGAAAGTATGACATTGCCCCATTTGTTAGGAAATGGAAAGACTTGGAAAAAATTGTATTAAGTGAAGTAAGCCAGGCCCAAAGAAACATAGGCCCCATGGTTTCCCTTATTTGCAATAACTAGTATATGTCTGAGACAAGCAGAAAAGGTCAGATAAAAGTTGATGTTAGGTGAAATGAACCCCAAGATAAGTATTCAAATGTTTCTTTCATGTGATTGTTTCTAACATATAAGATTATTTCTTTGTTGCTTTGTATGTCCCTCCCCCACGATATAACCCCTGCTTTCACTGTATCTGATGTTGGTATACTTTTTAGAGGGGAAGGGAAAAGACAAATCGTTTAAATAGAGATACAGGTGGACCCATTGCAACAATGAGATGTACAAGTCGTTATGTTAAAAAAATGAACTTTACAACTTTGGGGGGGGGATTGGGGGAGTGGGGGGAATATGGGGGGCCAGGGGGAGGAGATGGGAAGGGTTAGAAAGGGGAAAGAAAGGAGGAGGCAACAATGCTTGATAAGAAATGTACTCATTATCTTGCCCATGTAATTGTAACTCCTCTGTACGGTATTTTTACAATAAAAAAAAAAAACAGAAGTGGAGCTGTGGCTCAAAGTAGTACAGTGCTACCCCTGAGCAAAAGAACTCAAGGCCTGAGTTCAAGTCCCATAACTTTAATTAAAAAAAAAAAAAAAAAAGTTACCCAACAGACGGAGACCATGCACTTTCATAGTTATCCATCACCTTCACATACTTAAAGGTTTAAAAAAAAACCCACCTCTTCATTTTGGGGGGGGGGGCGCAACACATTGTCTCTCATCAATGTATTTTTTAAGACTTTAGGTGGAAGGGATGGGGGGATGGTACAGGAAAAACAAAGGAGGAGGCAACAATGCTTGATAAGAAATGTACTCATTACCTTGCTCAAGTAACTGTAACCTCTGTACAGTATTTTCACAATAAAAAACTTATTAAAAAACCATTAACTGGGTTAATCACTTAACCTCTTTAAACCAATATAACTTGTTTCAATTTAGAGTAAGCAAAAT